CTTTGGTGTATCCTAATATTCTTTTTTATGGTTTATCTGTTATTCAAGCTAAGTGTTGAGTGTTCGAGATATATATTCAAGATTTTGAGTTTATGAGTTTGAAACTTGAACTTGAATTTAATAAAAATAAACTTATTTATTTGTAAAGCCCAAATTATTCCTTCAACCCAAATAAATATGAATTTTATATCCAAATTATGTGTGAATTAAATCCAATAAAATTTATATGTCTACGATGTCAATTTAAAAGTGGACAAATAATCAAAAACGGAGAAAATATGTTCCGGATAATGTTAGTAGTTCTTAGAGTTACTTTTGCTATTACATGAATTTGTTTATGTATTTTGGTACATGTTATGTATGATTATATATGTTAAGTAATTCTTGGAGTGACTTTTGGATTTCATCAATTTGTTTAGGTACTAAGGTACATGTTAAATTGTTAGGAGAGTTTTCTCCGGAAAAATATCTTATAATGTGAAATTCAAATTAATAAGTATCCAATAAAAAATAATCGAACAAAAAAAATCACATAAAATATAGATTTTCTTTAATTATCTACAATCACCCAACAAACTGTAAAAAAAATTAAAAAATTAATATGCAAGGTTATTTAACACTTATATAATAATCAAAGTGACTTAACACTTTTTTATAACAAATAACATTGCTATAATTAATACATGCATGTCATTGACATGTGTGTATATATGAATCTGATTTGTGTGTTTAAGGTTATTTTGAAATGGATAACAAAGAATCTTGACTAGGTGGCAAAAGACTAATTGTTTAATTAAAAGTTACAAAATTATACTAATCGTTTAATTAAAAGTTATAAAATTATATTGAATATATATATTTTTTTAAATCAATAAATGTAGTTTTTCAAGAAGAAAAAGGATTATTTATTGTTACAATGTGCACAAAGAAGTTGAGGAAAAGTGACACTATTTGTTGCTCCCCAAACAATGCATTTATTTATTCTATAATCTGAGTCTCATAATTTCGAAAAATATATATATAATAATTAAATTAAATCAAATAATATAAATATTATTTTTAAAAGTTATTTTTAGAAAATATCCTTATTTAAGCAGGCACATTAACGATTATCCAACATGTCTGCTTCAAACTCAAACTCTCTTTTATATAATAAGAAAAAATAATTATGGTAATACCACTTTATTGTCTGTCAATTTTGAAATTAAATAATACCATTTATAACAAATAAATAAATAAAAAATAATGATACAAATAGTTGTCATTTTAAATATTAAAATTAAATTAAATATTAATTTCAGCACCTTTTATTCAATAAATAACAAAAATTATTTACATTGATGAAAAAAAGAAAATATTATTGAATTGAGATAAATGGATAATGATAAGTTAGTTAACTTACCCTTTTAATTAATGTCTTTTAAAAGTTTAGTTAAAAAAAAATGTAACATGTAAAACAAAATCAGAGGATAAATATTCACTTCATTTTATATATATTATATATAATATATATATAAAAGGAATAGTGAAATGTATTTGGACAAGTAAAGTGAACATAGGGAGAGGAAAAATCTGTAATCTCAAAAAAAAAAACATGAAGTTACACCTTTCTCTTTGATAATTTTTTTTATTACATTAGTTGTTGATCGTAATACTCTCAAAAAAAATTTAATTGTTATGTTACGTTTTTTTAAAAATTAATTTAATTAATTTATAAAGTTCAAATTAAATTACATTAACTTAAATATTCTAAACTAAAAGTTTAGATATTTAAAAACTATATGAAAAATATTATAAATTTACAGTTTTTAATATGTCAATATGATGAAAATATATATCACAAAATATTTATCAAAGTTCTTATTATTTGACCGTAAAAAAAAACACTAAGCTAAGTAATAATTAAAATAAGTAAAAGAAAATATATAAGGGCCACTAATACTAATATCCTTATTTTGTGCTGATTTTTAATTTATAATAAAATAAAATTGAGGGACATATATATATATATATATATATATATATTATT